AGACAGATATCATTACTTTTGAAGATTTGCTGATTATAAGAATAATTTTTAAATTCCACCATCCAGACACATTCTATTAGCATCTTGGTACATTTCCTCCCAAGCTTCTTTCTCTACATAGTTTTCTTCCATATTATTTCTCTATAAAAACTTCACAAATATTCTTTCAATCTAAATTGCTTCCCCACTTTTTTCTCTTATTTATTTATTTATGGCAAGAAAGGCCAAGTAGAATCCCATATTTTTATTCAACCAGTTTGTGACCATACTATACATACAGTCTCATATCCTACATTTTTTAACTTAATATTATATCCTGAGCATTTCCTATGTCATTAAAAAGCATTATTTCTTGGATGCACAGCATTGTAAAATATATGACATCGATGTTAAAACATCAGGCCAGCCACAGTGGATCACAACTATAATCCCAGCACTTCGGGATGCTGAGGCAGAAAGATCTCTTAAGGCCAAGAGTTGGAGATCAGCCTGGGCAACACAACAAGAACCTATCTCTACAAAAAAATTTAAAAATTAGCGAGCTGTAGTGGTGCCCCCCTGTAGTTCCAGCTACCCGGGAGGCTTGTTATGCAAGGATCCCTTAAGCCCAAGAGTTCAAGGTTACAGTGAGCTGCAATTGGGCCATTGCACTCCAGCCTGAGACAGAGTAAGACTGTCTCAAAAAAAAAAAAAAAAAAATCGTGGAAGAAAATTTAGAATACTTACAAGTTTTTGCCTATATTCTCACCCACTCCATCAATTGATTTCACATTTTAGTGTTTCTTTTCCACTTCAGTCCCTAGGGCTATCATTGCTTTTAGATAATTGAGGTAATAGGGTAGATATAGTTTTTTATTTGTTTGTGTTTAGAGGTCTGTAAAAATATTTTTTAAAAATTAGCCAGGCATGGTGATACATGCCTGTAGTCCCAGCTACTTAGGAGGCTGAGGTGGGAGGATCATTTGAGCTCAGGAGTTTGAGGCTACAGTGAGCTATGGTCACACTGCTGCACTGCAGCCTTGGCAACAGAGGGAGACCCTTTCTCTAAAAATGTTATGTATTTTTTCTGTATCTAATCAAATATTCTTTATATGTAAGTAACAGCGTCATGTTATCTTTTTGTAAATTCCTTAATCTTTTGAATTTACACTACAGTGTAAAAGTCTTTTGACAATAATTGTAGTGTAATGTCTTTTTGTCTCACTGGATTTTATATTAATAGTGAAAGACATCTTTGCCCAACAAAATATAACTAAAGTAGTTCTGTCATCTCATTTGTAAATTTTGTCTTGTACTGTGATTTAATGAACCTTATTGTCCTTATGAAATGGTAACTTTGTGAAATAAATTTACCAAAATTTAACATTTCAACATCTTTATAGCTTCTTTACCAGTTGAGACCAGATAGACAGACATCTTTTTTTTTTTTTTTTTTTTTTTTTTTTGAGACAGAGTCTCACTTTGTTGCCCAGGCTAGAGTGAGTGCCGTGGCGTCAGCCTAGCTCACAGCAACCTCAAACTCCTGGGCTCAAGCGATCCTACTGCCTCAGCCTCCCGAGTAGCTGGGACTACAGGCATGCACCACCATGCCCGGCTAATTTTTTGTATATATACTTTTAGTTGGTCAATTAATTTATTTCTATTTTTAGTAGAGACGGGGTCTCGCTCAGGCTGGTTTTGAACTCCCGACCTCCAGCAATCCGCCCGCCTCGGCCTCCCAGAGTGCTAGGATTACAGGCGTGAGCCACCGCGCCCGGCCTAGACAGACATCTTTTGAGCTGATACCTCCTTTGAGTTTATAGGCAGTTTGATAACCACCTATCCTCAAGGTTGCATGTTATAACAGTTTAATTGCTGAGTTCAGGCCAGTGAACATTTATGTTTTCCACCAACTACCTTGATATAAATATCTTGGGAGGTGCTGGCCTGGAATGGTTGTGAAAATGCTCCTGGTTTCTTCTTTGCCTCACTTAACATCTATTTTAAGGTCAAAGCAATATCTGCACACTGTTTTCCTTTCAGTCCTCCAGACACTGGAGGTCCAGTCCTCTCCATGCCCTATGTGTAAAATTTCACCCTAGATCAGACTGTCTCTTGGGTCCTAGAGCAGCACGGGAGCACTGCATGCTTATTTTCTAGAACCCAACCAGCTTGTCTCCACACACTAGTAGTTATAACACAATTGTATTGTATTTCCTGAGTTACCAGTAAGAGAACAGAGTCTTTTCTCATCTAGGCTGGAAATGTTGAAAATGCTCAGCCTTACATACAAACTTTTAGGTTGTCATTAACACATTTCACAAAAGTAAATGAGTATTATTTGATATGGTTCAGATGTTTAAATGGCCAGCATTTTAATAAATACTTGAATTATAATTTTGTCCCTTTTAAAAAAGTCATAGTTGAATGTAAGCTATTAAATGTTAATGAGTTTAGGTTCTGTTGCTTGGTTGTCTCTATCGCTGTTTATCCTAGCTCTGGGACGAGGGTGTTGGTTGCTTCTGATGGTTTGGTGTTCGATAACCTCCTGAGCACGAGGATCGGAGGCTCGTCTTACTATAATAGAAGAATAATTGCTTCTACAATAATATATTAGAAAATAGTAGCCAGCTGGTGGGTGCTGTAGTCCGCCTCAGGAGGCTGAGGCAGAAGGATTGCTTGAGCCCAGGAGTTTGAGGTTGCTGTGAGCTAGGCTGACGCCACGGCACTCACTCTAGCCTGGACAACAAAGCGAGACTCTGTCTCAAAAAAAGAAAGAAAGAAAGAAAGAAAGAAAGAAAGAAAGAAGGAAGGAAGGAAGGAAGGAAGGAAGGAAGGAAGGAAGGAAGGAAGGAAGGAAGGAAGGAAGGAAGGAGAAAGAATATGTATTTTAATACATACAGCTGTTTTTTTTCTTTGGCTTATTTCACTGGGTTAAATTCCTAGGTGAGATACTGGGTCAAAGCATACCAGCTGGCTCTTGTTAAGTGTTACCTAAGTGTGTTAGGGACATAATCCCTAAGAAGGATTATGTCAGTTTACCTGGCCACTAGGAAACAGGAATGTACCAGTTTCCCAAAGCTTTGGCCAGCGTTAGGTATTTAATTTGTGCTTGGTTTAATGGCTATTAATCTGGACCATACTTTACATACAGTCTTTAATTTGCAATTGCTTAATTACTAAGGAAGTTGAGTCTTTTAAAAAATATATGTTTATTGAGGCCGGGCGCAGTGGCTCACGCCTGTAATCCTAGCACTCTGGGAGGCCGAGGCGGGCGGATTGCTCGAGGTCAGGAGTTCGAACCAGCCTGAGCAAGAGCGAGACCCTCTCTACTATAATAGAAAGAATTAATTGGCCAACTAATATCTATAGAAAAATTAGCCAGGCATGGTGGCGCATGCCCGTAGTCCCAGCTACTCAGGAGGCTGAGGCAGTAGGATTGCTTGAGCTCAGGAGTTTGAGGTTGCTGTGAGCTAGGCTGATGCCACGGCATTCACTTAGTCTGGGCAACAAGTGAGACTCTGTCTCAAAAAAACAAAAACAAAAAAACAAAAAAACCCCAAAATATATGTTGATTGTTTGTATTTCCTCTTAGGTGCCTATTCAATTCAAAACAACAGACATAATTTGAGTGCCCACCCAGTGCCAAGTGGTGTGTACTACCCTCAAGGATGGGGGACCTAATGAAAATGACCATTTGGAACAGGGTGGGGGAATCGGAATAGTATAAAAAATAATGACTATTGTACTCCATAGATAGAAGTAAACACTGACAGGCAGTTTGAGCAAAGTCCTCTGGGTGGAAGACAAAGAAGGAAGGGTGACCTGCCAAAACAGATTAAGCTTTTGCAGGGCAAATGACTTTAGAGCTGGGCCAAAAATGAGTAAGATTTTTCCAGGTGAGAAATAATGTATGGGAAGAGGGCCATTATATAGAGAGGTAAAGGAGTAAATGTGTAGAGTTGTGATTCTTCCATTATGGCTGCAACATGGAATGCTGGGGCTGAGGGATCGTGAAACATTAGCTGGAAAGGAATGGTCAGGGCTAAACTCAAGAATCTCATTTGTCCTTAGGATATTTTTGTTCTTTTTTTTTTTTTTTTTATGAGACAGAGTCTCGCTTTGTTGCCCAAGGCTAGAGTGAGGTGCCATGGGTCAGCCTAGCTCACAGCAACCTCAAACTCCTGGCTCAAGCAATCCTCCTGCCTCAGCCTCCCAAGTAGCTGGACTACAGGCATTCCACCATGCCGGGCTAATTTTTTTTTTATATATATTAGTTGGCCAATTAATTTCTTTCTATTTATAGTAGAGACGGGGTCTCGCTCTTGCTCAGGCTGGTTTCGAACTCCTGACCTCGAGCAATCCGCCCGCCTCGGCCTCCCAGAGAGCTAGGATTACAGGCATGAGCCACCGCACCCGGCCTGATATTTTTGTTCTTAACAAGGAATGACACAAGCTGATGGGTGTTTTAGAAAGACCTCTGGTCAGGTGCAGGGAAGTGAGCCCTATAGTACCAGCTACTTGGGAGGCTGAGGTGGGAGAATCGCTTGAGCCCAGGAGTGTGAGGCCAGCCTGAGCAACATAGCGAGACCCCATCTTAATTAAAAAATTTAATAATAACTTCAAAAAGAATGAACTTTCTGGACGCAAATGAGATGTAGATTTGGAGACACTAGAATCTCTAAGATGAGCCTGTTTGTGTCCTTAGCCATTTACCCAGGATCATGGGACTTTGAATAAGTTTTTTTTTTTTTTTTTGAGACAGAGTCTTACTCTGTTGCCCTGAGTAGAGTGCCATGTCATCAGTCTAGCTCACAGCAACCTCAAACTCCTGGGCTCAAGCAATCCAACTGCCTCAGCCTCCCAAGTACCTGGGACTACAGGCATGTGCCACCATGCCCAACTAATTTTTTCTATATATATGTTTAGTTGTCCAGCTAATTTCTTGTATGTTTTTTTAGTAGAGACAGGGTCTCACTTTTGCTCAGGCTGGTCTCGAACTCCTGAGCTCAAATGATTCGCCCACGTCGGCTTCCCAGAGTGCTAGGATTGTAGGCGTGAGCCACCATGCCCGGACAGAATAAGCTTTTTATGTACTATACATATTAAACCTTTATCTGTCCTACTTAAAACTATATTCCCATTTCATGGCTTTCCTTTCCAAAATTTTGGTAGAATATACATATCATAAAATTTACCATCCTGACTATTTTGAAATGCTAAGTACATTCACATTGTTCTGCAACCAATCTCCAGATCATGGCTTTTAAAAAAATTTAATTTAGTTAAGCTTTATGAAAAAGAAGTTGAAATTTGTACAAATTCACTTTTTTGATAATTACTGATGTTTGCTCAACACTTTAAATTGTATAATGCTCTTTAACATATATGATTTCACTTGATCCTCATAAACATCCTTCCGAGGTGGATGTGCTCTCCACTTGACAGATGAGAAAGCTGAAGCCATGAGACATTTGATGGCATCTTATTCAAGGTTACATAACTATAATAGTAAGTGGCAGAGATAGAATTTGAATAGAGGCATTCTGATGACCATGATACCTCTAGAAAAAATGACAGGAGTTTGTGTTGTATGGAAGACTAAAACACGATTTCTAGGAGTTCTCCTGGGAGATGAGAGAACTCACAGACACAGCAGACGCCAGATAATACAAGTGACTGGTATTCTGTAAACTTCCAAAGCTATGCTCTGAGTTTTCCATCTGCTCACACCACCCCATGCTTACCATTTCTTCTTCCCCTGTGCTGAGGCTCTCAGGAGGACTCACTATTAGGCAAAAAACATTGACAGCACAGAAGACAAGCTTGGAGTCTTTATCCTTGGAGTGTTTATCCTAGAGAAACAGAGTGCCACCCAGGTTTCCATGCTGATGATTTCATTCAATTACTCACCCATGCAACAAATATTACCTGAATACTCACTGCAGGCTTAGCATTAGAAGAATGATGTTGAGCAAAACAGACAAAATCTCTGCACTCGTGGAGCTCAAGGACAAGTGGGGAAAACAGACATTGATCAGGAAATCATAAAAATAACTAATTATGAACCGTATTGAAGGAAATAAATAATATGCTATGAGAGAAGTTTATATAAAATAGGTGCACCAGACCATGTCCAAGGAAGGGAAGCTTCCCGTAAAATATTTTCTGGAAGTTTTTCTTCTTCTCTTCCTCTTTTACACACATCTCCCCCAAGCCTCACGTTAAACTTCACAGGGAAAGACATGTAACATATGATTTGGAGAAATCCAGGACTGAGTATATGTTCTGTCTGTATGCATTTGTAAATATTCCATATTCCACAATATTCTTTCATTATCTGACTTGTATACTAATCACAACCTTGCAAGGTAGACAGGCAAGTATGACTCCCTGCATTTCACTGATGAAGAATGTGAGTCTCACAGAAGTTAAGTAACTTGCCTAAAATCGAGTTACCCAATTGTTAATGGTGGGGCTGGGACTTGAATCTAGGTCTTGTAACACTTAGATGATGTTATTCTTGTAATAGTCATTCTTTTATTTATTCATTCCTCCATCAGACATGTACTGATCACTTTCTGAGAGTCAGGCTATGTATGGAGCAAGCAGGAACCACTGAAGAGTTTTAAGAGGAAAGCAGCATGAACCAATTCAGGTTGTAGACAGAACTGTCTTCTGGATGAGAGAACACAAAGTGGTGGTTTTCAAAGAATGATCCAGGACCTATAAAGTCAGAATCTCTGAGATCCCAGCTCAGGAATCTGGCAATCGGCCAGGTGTGGGAACTCTTCTGATTCCAATGCAATACAGAGGAAAAGCACTGTGTTAGAGAAGGAGATGGTACAACCAGATAACATGACCACAGTGGCAGCTCTAGTAACTAGGTGAGAGGTAATAAGGTTCACAGACAAAGATATGCACTTTTGAGTCATTTAGATAGTGTGAACAAGGCTTCCACTCCACCCTTGCATGGACAGTGTCCAGGATTCCTATCTGAATCCTCTTTCTGGCACTAGAGCTTGTGGGCTTTACTGCACATAGTGATTTATACCCACATCTTGACTTTAAATAATTTATATTATTTTTCTTAGCACTTGCTTTGCAAATCTCCACTTTATCTCACACTGCCCCAAGCCTTGTATTTATTTCTCCTTCACTTTCATAAAACCGAGGAGAGATATAATGGACAGACAAGTAAAACCTTAAAAGTTTTAAAACATTTCTTTCTTTGGAGCTGGATACACAGGCATATAAGAATTGATTTGATCAGACAAGCACAGACGGGGAGAGAAAACAGCAGGCCTTAGGGAGATACACTGGACTTCCTCCTTTCTAAACCCTAGGATGACTCCAGGAAACCTGAAGACAATAATTCCAGAACCCAGAGGGTGACCCCATTTCCTCTTCAAGGTTGTTACTGGTTGTCAGACTGGAGGCGTTGAGGAATTCAGGAAACTGTGAAGAAACCACAACGCCTCAACAACCACCTCCCCAAACATCAACATCAACAACCTCAACAATAAAATTCATTAAAATTCATCTCCCTCCGCCCACAACCACAGACCCGAAGCTGGAAGCCGGGAGGCGACTACAGCAGAAACTCTTGGTTGCCCAGCTTGGTATTTCCTCATCCGGGACCCAGGTTTCCCAAAATCTCAGAGAGCCTGGAAACTGACGTCCTCATCTCTGGGTGAGAGGTGGCTAAGGCCACCTCCGCTCTCTCCTCACTGCCAAGCAGGTCAGGATTAAAGCAAACTGAGGCAAAGGCTACAGTTGGCAGCGCCACGAGGAGACTGGCCAGTCCAGGTACCCTACAAGGCTGCGCAGGTGGCAGTGGAGGTGTTAGGCGCGGGGAGGGTGGGAACATGGGCAGGGCGAGGGCCTACGGTGGTATTTGGGGCGGGGCGTGCGATGTGCCTGGGAGAGGAGCCCTTCAGGATGACCAATCAGAGATCGGGCTGCGGCCCAGGGGTGTATCTTGGTGGAGATTGGATAACCGCAGGGCACGGGGGCGGGGGGATCGCGCGCCGCCAGGGCCAGCCGCTTTGCAATGCTGTGTTATAAACCGCAGTGGCGGCTGCGGTGTTAGCCGGCTGCACTTGCAGCGCACGTGCCTGGATCGACGCCCTCCTCATCTTGCCTAGGTGTTCCTTCTGTCCTGTTCGGTCTCGCCTCGAGGTTCCCTCCATTCTCGGCACCCCCAGCCTCTCGTCCAGCCACCCAAGCTTTAGACCTCGGGTGGTGTGCAGAACGAATTGGTCACAGCCATGAATATCTCACACGAAATGGAGCAGCTGTTCCAGCCCTATGACTTCGAGCGGTCGCAGGACATGAGGCCCTTTTTGGAGGAGTACTGGTGAGACCTGGTGAGGGGGAAGGGCCATGCTAGGGGCCCGGCCCTGCTGACCGCTTTCGTCAGAGGGCTGCAGGGGAATGGGGGTGGGTGGGTACGGAATGCCCCCAATGATTTTCTTACCGAGCAAATATATCGGACTCCCCTTAACTGGCTCCACACTACTGCTGTCCAAGGTGGAGGTAGTGTGGCACCTCAAAGAGATTAGAGCTGAAAGGAAGAAAGTAGAAATAAGAGGATGAGGGAGAGGAAGATGGGAGGATACAGAAGCCAAAGATAGAGTGTAGTGAGAACTGGTCGCTGAGGAATGAGGGTGATCTGAACCCCTACTAGATAATTCTTTCCCTGTCCTTTGTGGCTGTGTGTGCGCGTGAGCGTGCATAGTGCTGGCACTCAGGGACAACCTGTCCTTCACAATTATCACGTTGTTCCCCAAATGCTCTATGGTCCCTGCTGTGGAGAAGGAGGCAAAGTCAAGGAGCTCTTCCAAGCTTTCCCCAGGCTCTCTGGCTTTGCTTTAAAGCTCCTCAGAGGTGTTTGTAGGCTGACTTTATGGTCCAGCCAATTGGCCATGAACCAACCAGACAGAAGCTATTGCCCCATTCTTCCTATACCTCAGCCCTGGGCTGGTTCTAGGAATGGGCCAGATAACTATCACCCATCCCCAACCCCATTGAGAGAACAATAATCATAGAAACCTTGGACCTAGCTCCTGCCCTGTGCTAAGTACTTTCTATTCATTAATAATGCCAGGAGAAGAATATTAATTCCCCTTTACAAATGAGGAAGCTAAGGCTCAGAGAATTAAATTAGTTTTTCCAGTGTTACATGGCTTTTAAGTGGCAGAGCTGAGACTCCAACTCAGAGCACTTACCTGGAGAGATAAGTGGGCATACTTCTAACCAGCACCCATCCATGAGCCCATCCTTCTGCCTCCTGCCTTCTAGGGCAACCTGTTTCCCCATAGTTCTGATCTACCTGCTGCTCATCATTGTGGGGCAGAACTACATGAAGGCAAGGAAGGGCTTCAACCTACAGGGGCCTCTCATCCTCTGGTCCTTCTGCCTTGCAATCTTCAGGTAAGACACTCCCCCCTCTCACTCTCTTCCTATTCTCTAAAGTTTAGACCTCCATCCTATCCCTTAAATATTTCCCAAATTTTCAATTGCATCACCACCAGCCCTATCCCCAAGTTGCCTCATTTTTTTCTTTTTATTCCATCCAGATTCTAGAGCAGCAAGTTGCCTCATAACACTCTCCCCATCCCATTCTTTCAGCTTTAGCTCCTCTCCCAGCTTCCACCATCTTTCCATACTACCCTTTTTCTCTTCTTTTCTAGACCTCAACCTGGCAGTCTCTTCCTCACATCACTTGTGCTCAAGAAGTCTGCACTTCCAACAAATTTCTCCAGCCCCTAATACTCTCAGTTCCTAACACCCTCTCCCAAGACCTTTCATGTTATGTTTTCTCCCCCAAACTCCTTCAATCTTCTCCATTCTTCTACTCATCTCTTCCCAGGTCCCTACCCCATCCCAAGAACTCCATTCCCTAACTCAACTTTCAGTTCTATTTCCCTGTATTCCCTGGTCTATCCCCAGCCCTCATCTCCTCTAGACTACTAGTTGGATCTACCAGATTGGCCCCAGGATCTCATAAGCTGTGACCCATCTTTTTTGGATGGGTGGGAAGGTGGTGCGACTTGGGACTTAGTGACCTGGCCAAGCCAGGGGGAAGGGTGTATTGGTGCCTGGAGATGACGCTTATATCCTCTTCCTCTGTCCCATTTCAGTATCCTGGGAGCAGTGAGGATGTGTGGCTTTATGGGAGCTGTAATACTTAGAAGGGGCCTAAAGCAAACGGTGTGCTTCATGAACTTCCTGGAAAGTTCCACAATCAAGTTCTGGTCCTGCCTTTTTCTTCTCAGCAAGATCATTGAACTCGGTGAGTGAGTGGCAAGGCTTTGTCTATTTGGTGCCCAGTGAACTATATCTCACCTCAGGGCCCTCCCTTCACCCAACACATGGAGAGTCCCTTCCCCACCCCTGGGTCCTAATAACACCTCTCACTCAAGCCCCTCTACAGATTCTCTTCCACAAAGACTCCCCTCCCTCCCCTGAGAATTTCTCCTATGTCCCCATACCCAGAGTGGAGGGTGGTCCCAGCACTGGGTGGTATGCCAGCTATGTCTCTCCATCTCCCAGGAGACACAGCCTTCATCATCCTGCGTAAGCGGCCACTCATTTTTGTGCACTGGTACCACCACTGTACGGTGCTAATGTACACAAGCTTTGGATACAAGAACAAAGTGCCTGCAGGCGGATGGTTCATGACCATGAACTTCAGTATACATGCCATCATGTACACCTACTACACTCTGAAGGCTGCCAATGTGAAGCTCCCCAGGTTGCTTCCTATGCTCATCACCAGTCTGCAGATCCTGCAGATGTTTCTAGGAGCCATCATCGGCCTAATGACTTACATCTGGAGGCAGGAACAGACATGCCACACCACAGGAGAACACTTCTTCTGGTCCTCCATCTTGTATATAACCTATTTTATCCTCTTTGCCCACTTCTTCTACCAAACCTACATTAGGCCCAAGGTCAAAGCCAAGACCAAGAGCCAGTGAAGGGTTGGAGAGAACAATGAAGCCCCAGGTTCTCTCTTCCCCAGGGGACTAAGGTTCTGTGCTTAGGTTTGGGAGAATGATTAGGGTGCCTTACCTGCATGGTTTCCCCGCAGGATGTGTGTACCATGGGAGGTGGTAGGAAGTTATGATAGACAAGAAGGGTCACTCCTGAGATGAAGGTGTGGTCTGGTACTTTTATATTTCTGTTTTTAATGTGAAGGCCAAGCAGGCCCTGGAATGGGGGTGGGACTGAAGAGGGCCCCCAGAGCTGAGTTATTTATATTTCTATCCAGAAGTCTTTCTTCTTCTTCTTGCTTTATTTTTTAATTAAAGATTTCAAGAAGACTTTGGGGTTTGGAGATTTGGTTGGAAAATAGGGCTGCTGTAAGGGGAGACAGTTCCTGGCAGGGGGGTGATCAGCAGGTGGGAAGGCTGAGGGTGTGTGGAAGGATGAGAGGCACACGCACAGACACACAATAAGAATCCTAGGCCTGGTAGGCACTTAATAAATGTCTGTTTCAGACCAGAATTTTATTGCTGTTAGAGGGCCAAGCCCCTCATAGGAACAGTGAGAAACAGGTGCAGAAAGGTGGAGTAACTTACCTAAAGTCATAGGCTTCCTAAATTGCAGAATTGAAACCTGCAAGTAAGCGTTCAAAACCAGTCCTACCAGCTATTCTCCCTGAGACCACGAGGTGGCGCCACAGCACCGGCTTTGGCCGACGCCAGCCAAGTAGCTGGTCCCCCAGCCCCACGCACGCACCTCTTTGCTCCAGGAATCCCCAAGCTTCCCCATCCTGGAGGAGGGGCATGAGTGCGACTGAAGCTAAGCCTGGACCCTCACGTCGTTCCTGTACATTCAACTCTCCTTCAGACTGTGGGGAAGGATGAAGGGAAGAGGGCTCAACCGCAACTCTGAATCATCAGGCCTTTGACAGTCCGCGCATGTTTATTTCGTTTATCTTTGAAAACGGGGGAGGGGGAGTCTGGAGAAGGCGGGATGGGCCAAGGGTGAGTTGGCCCCCGGGGATCTGGTCCCTGTTCCTGGCCTTAGTCCCAGGGGCGCGGCTTGTGTGTAGGGCCCAGTCCACCCCTCAGGGCTGGGAGGGGGAAGGCCCTCTCCTGAGCCGGCCGCCCCCAGCTGCCGAAACACCCCTCTCAGACCCTGGGGCCGGGGCAAGCCAGTCAAGACGACCCCAGTCCGGGAGGCTGTGAATCATCGCCCCTGCCCTCGGGGATGCTCCTCCGGCCGGGCCGCTCATACTGGCCGTTCCACGGCGTACTGGCACGGACTGAGGTTCGCGGCCGGGGGCGGCCCGGGCACGGCGGGGTAGCTGAAAGAGGCGTGCTGTTTGGCTTTGAGCCGCAGGCTGGCCAGGCTCGAGTTACACGGGTCCCGATACACGTAGGGGGAGGAGGCGGCTGCAGCTGCGGCTGCGGCGGCCGAGGCGTAAGGGCAGGACACTGCCCCGGAGGACACGGCGGCCGGAGCCAGCCCGGGAGGGCCCCCGCCCAGGCCCTGCAGGGCCCCGGGCCCTGGCACGGTGCCCGGGGCGGCCGCGGCCGAGGGCACCATGGAGGCGGCGATGGAGCTGGGCGGCGAGAAGACGGGCTGCGAAGCCAGAGGCCCCACGTTGACTGAGTTGAAGGCGAACGGGAAGGTCTTGGCGGCGAGCGGCGGGGCGAGCGCCTTGGGTGGCCAGTTGCCGTACGAGTAGCCGGGGTACACCTCCTCGTAGGGCGGCACCAGCCCCCCGAGCGGCGCCGCGAAGCCGCCCTTGCACAGCTCGGCCTGCTGGCTGCGCTCGCGCTTCCGCCACTTGGCGCGCCGGTTCTTGAACCACACCTGCGAGCGCCGAGAAGGGGAGTCAGGGCGCCGGGCCGCGCCCCCGCCGGGTTCGAGCAGGGCCGGGCCGTGCGGAGGATAACAAGACCGGGTGGCGGGCACGGAGTGGGAGGGGAGGAGCGCGCGGAGTCAGGGGCAGAGAACAGACCGAGTCCGCCGCATCAGGGTCTGGGGGGACAGCAGGATGGGGCGAAGGAGGGGTGCCGCGGGGAACAAGAGACGGCGTCCGGGAGAAACGCGCGGTCCGCGAGGTAGGGAGCGGCACGAGCAGAGCCTGGACGTGGGGCCGCGGGCGCGGGGGCGTCGGGTGTTGGGCGCGAGGGAGCAGGCGAGCAGAACCGCAGGCCGCCTGTTCCCAGGCTGCTCGCTGAGGGGACCGAGAGGGCGAGGGCTGGGGTCAGGAGAGCATACCCGCACGCGGGCCTCGGTGAGGTTGGTCCACACGGCGATCTCCTCGCGCGTGCTCATGTCGGGGTAGCGGTTCCTCTGGAAGGTCGCCTCCAGCTCCTGCAGTTGCTGGCTGGTGAAGTGCGTGCGCTGCCGCCGCTGCTTCTTCTTCAGCGAGCCGTCTTCGGGGGAGCCGCCAGGCAGCGAAGCCGAGGCTTTCTCCGAGTCTGGGGGCCAGGGTGGGGCAGGTCACAGGGCGTCCAGGCCTGCGAGAGCTCTTGGGCTCAGGGACCTCGGAACAGCCCTCTAGCTGCTCTCTGGACTTCCACTCCACGGTCCCACCCCATTAGGGATCGAGCTGTCATCTCCTCCACCCCCAGAAGGGGGCGCACTCACCGCTGTGCTCTTGGCCCTTGCAGCCGTGTTCCGGGAGCGGGGGGTGTGGAGTGCCCGCGTCTGACAGCGACAGGGCAGGGCTCCGGGCCTCTGCCTCGCTGAGCAGGCCGAACTCCATGGAGGGAGGGATCTGGAGGGAAGAAAAGACATAGACCAGGTTTATGGGGGCAAAATCTTTGGATTATCTGGTTCCCAGCAGTGTTTGCCCATAAGTTCCCTGCCCCCCTTTCTCAGCCTCAGACAAAAAGCCACCCCGCGTGGGGTACCCTGGGAGAGAATGGAGAAATAGCAGCCTAAGGGGGAAGAGATGTATACTCAGAGGTTTATGCACCCTTACATACACTAGACTTCTAGACTTTGTTTTAACTGCTGGACACTTAGAACTGTGCCTGGTGCAATTTGGTGCTTGAGATAGATAGATAGATAGATAGATAGATAGATAGATAGATAGATAGATAGATAGATAGATAGATAGATATGCAGTGCTTGGAATGATATTTATTGAATTATTGAAAATACACACTATTGCACACCACATAGCCTAAGCAACATCCTCAAAAACTTCAATTTCTTCTCACATGAACACACAATATCCCTATATAATCGTAATGCCCCTCAGCCAATCGTACCTGCAGCACAGCTCGAACGTCTGTTATTTACTCTCCTTGGGACAGCTTTTATTTTGACCTAGGTCTGAGAATAACCACTGCTGTCATCTATGGGTACTTACTGTGAGGCTTCACCTCATTATCTGTCCCCTCACAAGAATACCTCAAGATTACATATCAAGATTACCCTTGTACAGATGAGGAAACTGACACTTGAAGTAACTTGATTGGGGCCACAAAGCTTGTAAGTAGTCGAACTGGGATCTGAACCAGGTCTGCGAGTCTCCTAAACATTTTTTTCTTCATTTGCTTTTTCAAATTGTGTTCTTTGTGGCCCACCCCAGAAATCCCCTCAGGGACGCACTCAGCTGGAACTCAAGCCTGCCTTCCTCCCATGTGCTTCAACTAGGACAGTTCTGCTTTTGTCTGTTTTGCTTATGATTTCTGTGGAGATTTTATTTGAAGGAAGAATTCCAAGATCAAACACAAGTTTGAAAACCCATAGATGCTTGGGCCCTACCTGCTCAGCACATACAGTCACATACCACTTCTGACCAGTCATTGCTCCAGTATCAAGCATGGCCTCTACCAAGCCCACTCCAGGCAGTAGGCATGGACTTCTTAAAACCACCTTCCTACTTGTACTCCCTATCCCAAACCTAGCCTGACATTACCCAGGAGCCTGCCTGGGTCTCTCTCCAAGTTTCCCCTGCAGGGTCCCCTTTCTTACTGGCTCTCCCAGGACCCCTCTGGTGGGTAGAAGGGAAAGGGCAGTCCTGGAGCTCAAGACGGGTGCCTCTTGGTTGGGGGAGAACTGAAGGAGTCTATGGACAGAGGGATGGGATAGAAAGCTGGGTGGGAGGGGTCTCTGCCCCTAACACCCCTCTCCATTAACAGGGGCTTAATGCAGGCTGTGCGAGGTGGCATTAATGTGGTGGATTAGCCTAGATTGAGATGTGTGTCACTTGGCTGTTCTGAATTTATTAGGAGCCTTTCTCAGGGAGGTGCAGATGGGCAGGCCCTGTATTTGCACATGGTAATGCCCCTTGCAGCCAGCTCAGAGGTCACAGCTGTGCCCCCACCCCAACCTTCCACTCCTCAAACCAAGTTGGGGGTTGGACAGAGGTCAAGGCAGGAGGTTGAGAAACAGTCTTTGCTCTTCCCTGAGGCAGAGTGTTCTAGACCTTGGACCTTTTACTGGGTTTGGAGAGGCAGGGCTGGAGGAAACCTGGGAAGGAAGGAGAGAAGTCAGGCCAGGAGTGGAAGTTTGTTCAAGCTTACCTCCCCTTCCAGCTCTGAGGTCAGGAGCCAGAGGATTGGGGCTGGAAAACTTTGGCCCAATGATACCCCAATGGGGAGGGGGGTGATGTCCTTGGGAGGGACCTATGGCAGCCCAGACTAGCAGCTCTTCCCAAATATCTGGGAACATGAGGGAGGAAGGCTTAGAACTGAGATGGGAAAAAGGGTGCTCTGAAGTCTCACTTTACTTCATAATCAAGGTGCTCTTGAAATGCAAACCATGGCCCTGACTACTTTTCCAGAAGCCACAGGAACAACATAGAGCTGGGGGGGAAAAGGATAGCTGGGTTTACCTGTGGGAAAAGCAGTCCCACCAGTCTGCTTTGGCTCTAGACTTCCAGTTTTCCAAATTCTTATGCTCCTGGCAGTCCATACCTGGGTCTTGCTTTTACTCTCTATTTCAGCAGAGGGAGGGAGGATGAGAAGGAATAAGGGCCAGAGTAAAAGATGAGGCCAAAAAAGCCGAGTTCAGGCTGTGTGTTCCCAGAGACAGACAGACACATGTGCAGACACACACAGGCCTTCACTCAGACATAATAAGCACTTGGACTTGGAGCTAGAGGCACACAAACACACACTCTCCCACACATGCGCTCCCACATTCAGGCAGACACACACACACTGTCACAGAGGCTCCTTGCTCTGTGACAGGGACAGCTGCCTGGGCTGGTTTGGAGCTAGCCATTACCCTCCCCCCCTCCCTGGCCCCTCTGAACCTCAGCTCTCAGTCCTAGGAGTTAAGGACTCTACGTGGGGGAAGAGGAGGTCAAGGGGGCTAGGGGAGTGTTCTGCACTCAGTGACTTCTGGGGAGAGGGTGCTTGCCTGAGTGGGGAGAAGGCATGAAAATGCGGGAGCTAGATGGTGGGGTGGAGAAGGGGATAGAAAGTACCCAGGCCCCTCTTAGGAAAGTCATCTGTATAGCCCAAATAAATTAGGTCTGGAGTCAAAAGGTCTAGGTTCATGTCCTGGCTCCACAACTTACTAGCTATATGTCCTTGGCAGTTAATTTACCTCTCTGGGAATATTTCTTCATCTCCAAAAGGGAGATCATAATCCCTTCCCTGCAGTGTTGTTACAAGGTTTAGAGAAAATGTAACGTGTAAAAATGAGTAGGAATAAAACTCTGTCTGGATATGTTTTTCTCATTCATTGAACAAATGTTAATTTAGCACCTTCTCTGAGCTGGGCTTTGAGTTGGACACTGAGGACAGGGTGGTGACCAAGATCTCCTCCTTGCCTCTGCCCTTGCTTGGTGGCTCATCCCCCCCAGACTCCATCTCTCAGTGGAGAATTACTCTGCTGGATAAGGTGAGTATGCTGCATTTCAGAGAGAGGCGCCACATGTGTTGTGAACAATGTCCTGAACATGGAGGGCCCAGTTGATAAGGTAACAGCAAAGTGGGCAGAGTAGCCCAAGCGGGGAGCCATTCTGGGGACCAGGGACTGGAAAAGGAAAGAATGAAGCCTGCAGGCTCTTAAAGGGGTTAGTAAGAGCAGAGAGAGAAGCCACAGCTGAGAAGGGCTCTGACTGTGAAACTGAAGTGAGAAGGAAAGAACAGCAAAGCCTTGCAGGCAATAGAGATGGAAGACACAGGCCTCACATCCGGGTGGGCTGGCCAGGCAAAGGCTGGGGGGCGCCAAGCTGTTGTCTGAGTTGGAGACAGGCTGGCTGGGGATTAAGCTCCCCCAAACTGCTGGAGATCAGGAATTGGGGAGTTGGGACTGAGGCCAGGGACTTTGCCTCACTCACTGGCTAGGGAGGGAAAAGCAATAGGTCCAGAAGCCACAGGATTGGTTGGTGCTGGTAGGACATACCAGGCAGGGCCAAAGAGAGTCAAGAGATAACAGTAGTGGTGAGTCTAGTTCTGGGAGGGGCTGCTTGCCCCAGCCCTAGCCTTTCTGACAGGCCCTGCCAGGGATGCTTGGCCCAGGCCCCACTGCTGCCAGGGCGGCAATCCTAGGCCTGGGAAGAGTGAGGGCCTGCAGGTGAGCTCTGATTCTGATGTGCAGGCTGGAATTACAGGAAGCCTGCCATGCACTGCAGCAAGAGCACAATATCCAGGGTCTATGAAGGAAGAGAGCAGATTACCGGCCAGAGGGGCCACAGTGGCGAGGCCATGGTTTCCAAGGGACACAACCTTAAGGTGAGAAGTCAACTGTCATGTGGACCCACTTAAGTCCTGAAGCCAGAGGGGTAGACCAGGGCCACAGTGAGAGACCCACAGTAGCTTACAATAGTAATGCCTGAGGCATTACTTAGAACGTTACTTAGGAAGCACAACTTAGAACTCAACTGGGAGAAACCTTTCTCTTGCAGGGTGAATGGAGAGGAAGATAGGAGGGTCTGGAGTTGTGATGCTATGGCTCAGCTCAGCAGGCAGCAAGGTGGGGAACAGGTGAAAACCAAGGCTCTAAATATGGAATCACCCTATAAACCTGAGACTGAGGTGAGGCCCTTCAGTGGACATGGCCTCATGTTCATTAGAGAAGCTGAGCACCTGTACTCTGGGCTGACTGCAGTGTGAAAATGGGAGCAAATAAAGACACATTTGTTCATAGCCCCAAAATGAAACCCCAAGACTCAGGTCGAGGCAGCAAAGCTGTGATGCACTCAAGTTATCAAGCAGTGAATCAGGGATCAAAGAAATGATCCCATGTGCTTCCCCACCTCCCTTGCTTTGTTCCTTCAGCAAGTGTTAGGTGCTAAGAGGGATCCCTAAGACTGGTAAGACATGGACCCTAACTTCTAGGAGCCTGCAGTCTGGGGAAGCAAGTAGAGCATTGGAGGGAATGATGGACCGCACAAGTCTGACTCTAAGACTGTGAGAAATCAGAGAGGTGAAAGCCCATGTAAGGTGGTATCAAGTGATGAGGGCTCAGAGAATGTAGGCATGTGGCTGAACCGGGAGTTGAGCAGGCAGAGAAGGGTGAGGGCCTTCTAAATAACACAGCAGTATGAGGAATGAGCTGGCAGGTTTGGAGGGGAATGAGGAGCCTAGGTCGGTCAGAGTCTCACCATAGACGATGGGAGATTCGCAGAGAAAAACAGGTTAGACTGAGAGGGCCTCTGATGAGGGACAAGGAATGGTAGTTTAGATTTGACACAGTCTAGGCTAGAGGGTGGCCAGCTTTTCCATCAAAAAACCCTTAAGACCAGTAAAATGCAACATCTACCCTTCCATGACCCCAAACGGCTGCCACTGGTATAAAATTTTTTTGAGGTCTCCAGCTTTATGTTAAAAATTCAAGGACATTTTGCATTCTATTCCATACTTAAGTTATGCTTATTTTAATACAAAAATAAAGTGCACTCCATCTTTAAGTGACATCACCACACAGGAAGATGAGCCCTGTTTCGCTTTTGGGTCATGTCCCTTAACTCCTACACTACCCTCTTCCACCCCACCCCACCTCACACTTCTCAGCAGTGAGAAGCACTGCTCCAAGCAGTGGGAGTCACTGGAGGCTTGTAGCCAGGGGAGTGACATAAAGCAACATCGTTGCAACCTTTATTTGGCAATGGTGAGCAGAATGGATCAGGCAGGGGAGAGATAGGAAAGGAGAAACTATAAACTGAGAGGTGTAAAGGAGGCCAGGATAGGACAGTGGAAAAGGAGCCATTTCTCTCTGACTTTCCATGACTCTCTTACCCCACTGATTATCTTCTTTTCCTTTTCCTCCCAATCACTCTTTTCATAGGTCCCTGCCAGTGGCCATGGACACTCTACACACCCAAATTTCAGGACCTAATGGATCCTTCATGTTACCTGCTATCTCCCTCCCCCACACCCTAGGAGGCATCATTTAGAGTGAATGGGGAAGAAAAAATTCCACCAGCCCCATCCTTCTCTCACCCAACTCAGCTCCAGACTGCCACCCCTGCTGTCCCTTCCTAAGCCTGAGTCCTGGGCCCATATTCATATCCTTGAGCAGGAGGTAGGCAGATCAGATCAGGATATTTGGCCTTGTAGAGTATCTAAGCATTTGGGAACCTCCCCAGAGTTCTTCTCAGAGAGGGGAAGGGATAATGGTTGGCATCTGAAGCCTGGGATAAGGTGTCCCATCTGTCATTAAGAACCTTCCTGTGGCTGGACCAGGGATGTGATCAGACTGCTCTAAGGCTCAAGACTCCACTCTTTCAAACAAACATTCTGTGGTTACAGGGGACCTGTGGTTTGGCACAAAAATAGCAATGCTTCTTATTTCTATTTCTCTATTTGCAAAGGACTTTCATATACATGATTTCATTTAACTCTCAAAACTGCCCAGCATGGCAGGATATTGTCCCAGGTTACACAGATTGAAGAGATTTGAACCTAGTTCTGCTCTTTTGATGCCTCTCCCCCTCCACCCTGCAGCGATTTGTGTGACTCTGACATGTGCTGATCCTCCCGGGCCCTGAAGGATTTCATGTCAACTTCCTGTCTCTACCACCTCTCTGGAAATGAGCTCTGGACGTTTGCTGCCCACCGTGCACCAAAGAACATTTTCCTATTCATCCTGAGCTTGCATCACTCCAGTTCTAAGAGGCTGCCTCATCTCTGGTTTCAGGATTTGGGGAGCAAGCACATCTTCCCCTTAGCTAGGCCTTTCATTATGTAGTAGATTTTCGTCCTATCTCATCTTCCAGAGGCCTAAACTCTGAAATTTTCTCCCTCCAGCAACCCCTGGCTCCCCATTCTGCCGACCATTCTCTGACCCTTCTCTGGGCCCATGACATTCTCCCTAAGAGCCAGTAACCAAGCATGCACTCAGCTACCTGCAAAGGTGGGAAAAGATTCTGCCCTTTGTTCCCAATTGTCTTCATTATGATGCCATCTCTTTTTTCCTGGCCTTTTTAGCAAAAGCAGAACTTTGGGCTAAGGTCTTCAGGGAACCATCTGTAATGCCCTCCCTATTCCTTTTCTGACTCACAGCACTTCATTTCTATCACCTATAATTTTAGTAATGTTCAAAGCCCCTGAAAAGCATATCAGGATGTGATGGGATAAATGGGTTGTGACTTTATATTTATCAAAAGAGGGCAAAGGACAAAAAAAGGTTGGGAATCCTAGCCAGTGATAAGCAAACTTTAGAACTGAGGAATGGAAGTGGGAGTGTGGGGAATATGTACTATATGTCATTTATAGGTGAAGGGTGAGAAAGGTTGAGACCCATTTGTTCAAATTACTCATTGCTAAACACAATGCCTTGCACTTGTCCTCATGAAAACTCTGTCCCTGGCTGGGTTGTCTTGCTCACTTATATAGACTCAGAGTTCTCCCTGCTCTGTCCTCCTCAGCTTAACTGGGCTCTGGTTAAACAGCTGGGGTCAGAGTGGATGGTGATTATATGGGCGCAGAGGAGTCAGGGTCCTATCCCAGCAACAGGGAAAACAAATGGGGCAGTTAGTTGGGTAGAGCTGAGACATCCTTCCCAACCAGACTTAGAAGGCCGCATAGCTCCATGTTAGACTCCAGGGTCTGGTTTCCATGTGTCTCCTTCCCACCTCCTCTCAGCCACCAGGATGGTGTGGAGATTGGTGGGGCTGAGGAAGCAAAAGGGAAGCAGGACCACAGAGTTTGCTTTGCTAAGGGACTGCAGTTTTCTCTTCTGGCCTAAGTTTCTGCCTTCCTGCAGAGAAAGAGCCCTTCATTGGCTGACACCCTGGCAAAGAGTCTGGGGGTGTCTGGTCAACTGTATTGGAATTAGGGGTTGACTGTGAGTCTGTGAGGGAACTGAGGCTGTCAGGGGCGTGTGCTGGGCTCCTCCCTGCCCTCCCCATTGCCCTTTGTGGCTCGTTCCTTCCTTTTCTAGTTTTGATTCCTACTAGCAGTCCCATCATTGGCCTTCTCTCTTCCAATTTGAATTCTGGAAGTCCAGAGTGGTGCTCCAATCTATTCTGAATTGGAGGGGTCATATGTTCCAGCCCCACCCCACCCCAAGGCCGGGCTGTAGCTTTACTCTCACTCCCTGCTTCTAGCACCACAGCCAGAAGGAGCAAAAAACAAGTTTAAAAAGTGTGAGCGGGGATTTGAGGTGACCCACCACAGCCGACCACATCATGAAGGCAGCAGGCACCGCCGGGTGGATGGACATGCCGCCCGGCCAGGGACATTCTGTCCACCACTGCCGGACACAGCGCCTGCTCTGGAGAGCCCCACTTCGCCACCCCAGACATTCTGTCCGCTCTGAGCCCCACACGCCACGGACATTCCGTCCGATTCTGAGGCGGCCCCTAGTCTGGTCCCATTCGGGCCCTGACACCCCAAGCCAGATTTGCCAGACTCGCCGCCTGGTCATTTGGGCTGTCCAGCCTCGGCCCTGCCGCCCGCACAGCGGCCATCTGACCCAGTCGCGTCCGGTTCTCACAACACCGCTCCCATTCCAACTGTGGAGCAGCTGGGCAGAGAAACGTGTGCGACAAGGCGCACCCCTGCTCCCAGCCCCTGGAGTCTGTCTGAGCCTGGTCTGAGGGGCGTCCGGCGCCGCCAACTGCTCCCATAATGGGCGACCGCCACCGGCTCCCCGCTGGCCAGGGCCTCTGCAACCCCTTTCGCTCCCTGGCCGCCTGCCTCGTGCCCCCGGATTCCAGGGAGCTTTCTGGTAATGGTTTCCAGAATCCCTACTGTCCGACTCCCAGAGCCCCTGTCCTGGCTTCACGTCTCTGGCTTCTCTCCGGATCCCCTGAGTCTCCCCCTTCCCTATACCCTGAGTTCATAACCCTGAGTTTCCCTTTTCCCAAGTCCTGGTCTCAGGTCTCCAGTCCGCCCTCCCAGTCTCGACCCGTTTCCCAGGCGCCGGAGTTCAGCTGGCCCGGATTTTTGGGATCCCAAGGTCCGGCCATGGCCCGTCAGCCCCTGTCCTTAGCTTGGTCAAGCACTCACAGTGCGTCCCGCGGCAGGCAGACTCCCAGCAGCGGCGGCGGCGGTGGCGATCTAGAGGGCAGGCAGGGGCCAGGGGCCGGGCACCCGGCCGGAGTGGGGGCCGCCCCCCTGCTCCCAGGCTGTCGCTCCGCTCCGGCGCTCCCGGACTCGCGGAGGGAGAGAGTGAGCCTCACCGCTACTGCCACCCCCAGCCGGCGCCCATTCACTTTATGGCAGCCCAGGGCGCCCCCAGCCCGGAGCGGCGAGCCGCCCGCCTCAGGCCCCGCCCCTTTCCAGCTGCGCCGCCCGGGCTCCGCCCTTTCCAGCTGTGGATCTTCAGGCCCCGCCTTCGGGGGAGGGGTCCAGCCGGCAGGCCGCCAAGAACCCCGCCCCCTGACCAATCGGAAGCTCTCCTCGGCAACTGGGCCACGCCCCTCCCCACGTGGCCGAGACCCCGCTCGGGCTAGGACGCCTTAGCAGAGCCAGGCGGGCGAGAGCAGAGTTGTCTGTGTAGCCCTGGGGAGACGGGGTCGGCCGGCGGCGAAGTGGGGCTGGGCTGCTACCCCCAGCGAAGTGGATCGGCGCCAGGTGGGAAGGCGCACGGGGCCGCCGGGTCTCGGCGCTCAGACTTCGCTGCCGCTCAAGTTTCGCCGATTTTCTCCACTTGTCGCTGTCCGTCTCTCTGCCCTTTTGTCTCTGTTCCAATCCTCCCACGTCTCGCCTTTCTTTCCTCTTCTTTCTCCCTGTGCCGCTTCACTCCTGCTGTTTGCCCCTTTCCTCCCTCCTTTGCCACTTTAAAGGGCTAATTTCATTTTCTCTCTACTCTTTTTCCTCACATTTTTCTTTCTTCCTCTTCTCGGCTATTTCCACCCCCTCCCCATTTTCCCCTTTTCTCCAAGGAAAATGACTACGTGGAGAAAGCAGGGTTTGGAATGAGAAACCAAAGTGATATTCCAACCCCGCCACTAACTGCACCATCACCGAGTGACCTTGGACAAGTAACTTAATTATCATCCCCCTCCCAAAAAAAAATTAAACAGAGGCTCCTGCTAGATCTCAGGGCTTGAGCGGAGCGTTCTTCAGAGGCTTGCACTGTTCGCTTTTTAGTCCGCACTCGTGGTTTACTTGGGCTGTGCTCTCCCTCTTTCAACAGGGCTGGTTTCCCACTGGGGGTGCCAGGTTAAAATCATGTGGGCAAGATAAGGTCTTGGTGCTTGCTGATTAGGAATCTGCAAAGGACAGGACAGATGTCCAAGGCATATGTGCAGTTAGGCTGAGTTGCTTGGGTGCTCCTGAGAGCCCTAATCTCAGGAGTGAGTCACACAATATGCTTCTAAGGCAAATCTGAACAGTCATGTCTCTGCATAAAACTCTTCAATGACTTCTGATTGCCCTCAGGATAAAGTTCAAGCTCCCTAGCCTGGCATACAAGACCTTCAGGAACTGATCTTGTCTTTATCTTCAATCTCCTAGTAATTTCCTGCACACCTCTGGCCTTTCCTGTGACATCTTGCTAATCCTACTCATCCTCCTAAACTCCACTTAGGATTCTTTTTCTCTGGGAAGCCTTTTCTTTTTCTTTTCTTTTTTTTTATTTCTGCATATTATGGGGGTACAAATGTTTAGGTTACATATGTTGCCCTTGCCCCGCTCCCCAGTCAGAGCTTCAAGCATGTGTCATGGAAAGCCTTTTCTGTTTTTTGTTTTTTTTTTTTTGAGACAGAGTCTCACTTTGTTGCCCAGGCTAGAGTGCCGTGGCACAGCCTAGCTCACGGCAACCTCAAACTCCTTGGCTCAAGCAATCCTGCTGCCTCAGCCTCCTAAGTAGCTGGGACTACAGGCATGTGCCACCATGCCCGGCTAATTTTTTCTATGTATATTAGTTGGCCAATTAATTTCTTTCTATTTATAGTAGAGACGGGGTCTCGCTCTTGCTCAGGCTGGTTTCGAACTCCTAACCTCAAACAATCCACCCACTTCGGCCTCCCAAACAGCTAGGATTACAGGTGTGAGCCACCGGGCCCAGCTGGAAAGCCTTTTCTGAACTCCCAGGTTAGCCAGATGTCTATCTAGCCTCTTGCTTCCTAGACTCTCTTTGTGCATACCCTCTGTTACACCACCCAATGTATTGAAGGGATAAGGCTTATTCCTTGGGGCCTTCTGGATCCTTGAGTGCAGCCTTTTGAATCCAAAATTAACAGAACAAATACCTTTATTAAAAGGATTTATTCTGTAAAATTTGGATTGGGTTGAAGGGCTGCACTTGGGGATCTGGAGGGCTACTTGTGGCCTTGAGGCTGCCAGTTCCCCACCCGTGGATAAGCTTATGTATTATTGCCTATAAGATTAGGATTTAGGAGGGCAAGGACCATCTCTTCTTTATCTTTCTATTCCAAGGCATAATGTAGAATTTCAATAAATATATCACACTGAAATCTAAGAGGAAGATGTTCTACCTGGTACAATGATAGTAATTAGGAAGGACTAGGGAATCGTCTCTTTCCTCCCAATTACAAAGGCACAATCACATGCTTTTTGGATGATGAATTTCCAGAGGTATGTGGGAGTGGACGTGGGGGAACAGGGAGTTTTGAAACACTTAGAGGACTTTTCAATTGGCTCTCCAGGCCCAGAAGACCAACTCTAGTCTTTAAATGAAGAGGAAAGGCTGGGTGCGGTGGCTCAGGCCTGTAATCCTAGCTCTCTGGGAGGCCAAGGCAGGAGGATCACTCAAGGTCAGGAGTTCGAAACCAGCCTGAGCAAGAGCGAGACCCCATCTCTACTTAAAAAAAAATAGAAAGAAATTAATTGGCCAACTAAAAATACATAGAAAAAATTAGCTGGGCATGGTGGCACATTCCTGTAGTCCCAGCTACTTGGGAGGCTGAGGCAGAAGGATTGCTTGAGCCAAGGAGTTTGAGGTTGCTGTGAGCTAGGCTGATGCCACGACACTCTAGCTGGGGCAACAGAGGGAGACTCTGTCTCAAATAAATAAATAAATAAATATAAATGAAGAGGAAAATGGCTCAGAGGTACTGTTGAAAGAGGTATATCCTCTTCCCCCAACTCTCCTTGGGTGAAAGAGGCTAGATCCTCAGCAGCACCCAGAAACCAAGAGCCCAATGTACACACGTGCAGGGAGCTGTTGAGGGGTTCTTCAGGTCTGATGTCAGGTCTAACGAGTTTTTTTGTTTTTTGTGGTTTTTTTTGAAACAGAGTCTCACTTTGTTGCCCAGGTTAGAGTGAGTGCCGTGGCATCAGCCTAGCTCACAGCAACCTCAAACTCCTGGGCTCAAGCAATCCTGCTGCCTCAGCCTCCTAAGTAGCTGGGACTACAGGCATGCGCCACCATGCCCGGCTAATTTTTTGTATATATATTTTTAGTTGGTCAATTAATTTCTTTCTATTTTCGGTAGAGACGGGGTCTCGCTCAGGCTCAGGCTGGTTTCGAACTCCTGACCTTGAGCAATCCACCCGCCTCGGCCTCCCAAAGTGCTAGGATTACAGGCGTGAGCCACCACGCCGGGCCATGGATTGTCTTTGGATGCCTGGTTTGGGGACTCTATTCCTATGGGGTTAGGTATGGAGCTTCCTTCCCTGGACTTGGGTCATCCATAAATGGGAGGAAGTGTGGGGAGAGAGTTGGTATCTCTTTTCACTGCCTCCTAGCAGCCTCTCCAGGTCTGTAGGGACACTGGGGCTCTATTTCAGCAGACAGGCTGGGAGTTCCACCATTCAGTCTGCAAGGAGAAAAACCGATCCTCCTGTCATCTTCCCACACTTCCAGGTAATTCCAAATATTTTAGCGACGTCTGTCATTTTTGCAACGGGAAGGGGCAGCTGAGGGCAGGAAAGTGAAAATGGGTGGGTATCCAATTCTCAGGCCTCTTAGCATTTCTAGGGCACACAGGAAAGACGTCAGTTTCCCGTCACTGAAGAGGTGGACTAACCTGTGTGATTAGCATTTTCCTTAGTAGGTAAGGTGCGCCCAAAGCTTGGTGTGAGGAGCAGAGCCAAGAGTCACAGCATGATAGACTAGAGCATGAGGCAGGCATAAGAGGTAGCAAGGGGCAGTGAAAAAGAGCTGGACTGGTGGTGGAGGTATCTAGGTTTGTCTCTTTGCTCTGCCTCTAACTAGCTATGTGAACACGGGGCCAGCTTTCCACTCTGGGACTCAGTTTTCTATTATGTAAAGTGAGGAGACTTGAATTAGATACCCAAGGCTTCTGCTACCTTCCATTTTCTCTGTTTCTGGATGATGGGAATGGGGCAGAAGACGCGGAAACTGAGTTTGAATGGGACAGACACACCTATAAGAAGCCAAAACTGGGCAGAGAGACGGGAGGGCGGAGGGATGGAGGATATGGAATAGATCGCTGGACTGGTTTGGGGATGGAGGGAGCCCAGAGCTGCCTCGAAAGGGAGTGATCCCTTGAGGGGCTTGGTATTGGACCCGGTGACTGATAGTCTGTTGCGGGGGTGGGATGGGGGAAGTAGGGGCGCCCGCTCAAGTTCTCAAAACGGACCCCGCCCCCTTTCCAGCAAATTGCGGCTTTCCTCCCCATGATGCCCGGCAGCCACTGCCAAACTGCGCACTGCAACCGAACTCTACCTAACTCCACCTCCCCAACCGCCCGGCACAACTTCTCATTTTTATTGGCCTCTATAACTGTCACTCAGAGACTCCTCGTATCCGTTGGTCGTCCCCTACCTACCCTTTCTTTACCTTGTAATCTCGCTTCTTTAGGCACTACCCGCCTCCTGAAGCCAATTCCCTTTCTTTGATTGGATAGCTGGAATGCCACTTTTCATGGTACAAAGCTTTGATTGGCTACGTGAGACAGGGCTCGCGCAGTTACCAGGCAGCGGGCTAGAGTGAGGCTAGTTACCACGTCAGTGAGCTGACAGGGAAGGTAGCCGGCTCCACCGCCCGTCCAGGCCGACTCATCACGGCGGACTGTGCGGTCTCACCCGGACTTCGTCCTCAACTCCCAGGAAACGGGCTCCTTCCCTTCTCCCATCTGCCACCAGAGTCGGGAGAGCTGCTCGGAGACGCTTCCGAGGCCCGGGCTGGACATGAGCAGCGGCTGCCAGTCCTGGGACTAGGCCCCGCCATTTTGGATCCGCTGACAGGTCAGCGAAGTCTCTTCCTAGAGTTCCAGTGTCATGAAGGCCGTCTGACATCGCAATAAGGAATTAGGGGGACGGGCCTTTAAGTTGGGTGAGGCAGAGTGGGTTAAAGACACAGTGGACTGGAATAAGACTAGGGAAGGATTGTTGTGGGAGGGACTTGGGAGGTGTGCTGGGGGCAAAGGTCAGGCGCCTGCTGCAGCAGGGGAGATTTCAGCTCTGACCTCTGATCCCTTGCGGTGCCCGAATCCTTCTTCCTGTTTTCCCAGGCTTAACCTAATCTTCAGCTCCTCTGTTCTGGCGCTTTCTGCATCCTAAAGAGCCTAGTTCTCAAAAGCTGAAAGCAAACCTGAGGAGCATTGTGTCTATTTTATGGATTGGTTTTCAGACTTTAGATATCAGAGTCTCTCCAGATTCTGGACAGCGTCCACTTGTGTGTGACTATCTCATTAATACAACGGAACTGCATTATTAACACTAGAAGATGAACTCGTGCAGCCTAGACTCAGGTAGTCAGAAGACGTGTGGAAAGGTTGAGGTCAGCAGCATGGGGCACTGCACTATGAGGAGGCTTTCCTCTTATAGGGCAGCTTAACTGCCAAGTCTGGGTCTGTATATAAACACTAGACTTATCTTTTGGGTCAGTTTCTTGCTTTATACAAATCTTTAACAGGTATTCTCTTCTAGTGTATGTTTTTGTTGGGATTTTCCCACCAGGTCTTCTCTTCATTGGCATATGGAGATGAGGTTTAATCACAAGGAAGCCACTCTATTATAACATATTTGACTGAGAGCAGAGAGGGATTTTAATACTGGCAAAGTTTGGTACCATTAGCCTATTATTTTTAGTGAGTAAAAAGAGTCATGGGAGATAATTGGCCAGTTGTGGTAGGGTCAGGGTAGCAGAGTGAATGATGGAACATAACCTCAAAGAGTAGTTTATCGCACTGTGATGGCCTTTGATAAACTGCCATGTTGTGAAACCGTAAAAGTCCACCAAAGGTAGAATGCATTTAGACATGAGGAATAGTGTAGGTAGTGTTTTTTAATGCACAATGTAGAAACTTGTATGCCTTTAATTCAGGCATACTCCTTTAGGCCCTATTGAGGATACAAATGGAAAGGTCCGCTTTGGGATTGTTCAGTGTATGCACTTCTTACAAGTAATAGCATGTAAGTGCAGTGGCTTAGCTAGAGCATATAGTAGGGTTAAAAGCAGGATCAACCTAATGCCTTTCGGCATGTAGTGGGCACTCAATAAATGTTATCTGTACCTGGGATTAGTTTTAGTATGTGATCAGGACTTGTGGCCTAGTTCTGGCCCTGGCAGTCAGGAACACTTTGCACTTTTGCATGGTGAGGTATAACGAGGAGGATCAAAACCTCATAGTGTTAGAAGGGAAAACTATCTAGGATCTTAGAGTGACTAAACTCAGTTTCTCCTACCTAATGCCCTTTGCCTTCCTGAAATTGTGTGTGTGTGTGTGTGTGTGTGTGTGTGTTGGGAGAAAGAGGGATAGCATAGCATTTATGGTTTACATGTATTAATTTAAAATTAGTGGGATGGAAATAGTATGTACAGGAAACTATTTGCATTTTAACTTGTTGATCTAAGTTGCAGAATTTTAAAAAAAGTAGTGGAAAGTGGCAAATGAAATGACATAGTCAGCCCAGCAGGTACTCAGGTTTGATGTGCCTTCCTTGCTCACCTGGGCCATTTCCCTGTTGCTGATATGCTTCATAGAAGAGGCAATCTAGTCTCTGGGTAGATAGTGTAACCAATTCAGCAACTTTTCAGTTGAGCCTGAGTGTGACTATAGAGGCATGAAAAATTTTCCCTTTCTTAAAAAATCATTTTCTAGATAGGAATAATTTCTATATAGGAATAATTCCCACTCCCCACCCACAAATCAGAAAATGTCCTTCCTTCCAGACTTAGATTTGAGCTTCTTTTTAATGGTAGCTATAGATAATACATTCCAGTCTTGACAGTGATGCTCACTTGGCACAGTGAGTGGGAACTCAGGTTGTAGACACATCTTCTCAGTAACTTGGGACCCAGTTTCAGCTCACAGTTCTCAAAGTTCCACTACTATTTCACTTCCCTAAGTTCCAAAAGTCAGCATTACTGCCACTTTTAAATAATAATTTCATTGATAGGGTACTGTGGGAAGCTGGAGAGGAGGAAGACACAGGTCTTCCTGCTTTTGAGAGGACTCACTTTATTTATAGAGTACTCACTGGAAGGATCATCCTAGCCTTTGTATGCCACTTCTAATTGATTCCTCACACTTTATCCCTGTGGTTCTGTATGACTGATTAGAATGATTCTGCTCTTGGGGTAATGGGGTTGAGTTGAAGGGAGAAGGAGAGGTTCGTTTTATTCTCAAGCTGGAAGAGCTATATAAATATAATAGGCTGCTGTTCAGCTTTTATTGTTCTTTTCTATATTTCAGTATGTTCAACTGCAGTTGTTTAATAAAATGAAAATATAATAGACCAGTGTGATTATTTGCAGCCCCAGTAGTTGTAGAAGTGATCATGGAAGTAATGGTTTGTTCCAATAATAGTGGAAGTCATCATAGATGTAATAGTAGTGTAAATGATCATGAAAGTATGATGACAAAGTAATGATTTACCATCTTATAAACCAGGGGTTACAAGCTCAAATGCTATGACTATTGGTCATTTTTCTTCCTATGTGTCATCCAGGTAATGTGAATGAATGAAGTGGGTCAGGTGGGAATGTATTAGGATGTAGCAGGCACTGTGGTATACTGGAGAACCCATGCCCTTATTTAAAGGAGGCACCTGCTACTTTTTCAGCAGATTGTTACTGTTTGACAATGTGGGCACAGAATGATGAGTTTCCCTATTTTTCAGGAGAAGCTGGAAATCCAGATCATCGTGCTTTTTAATTGTTGGCAACTAGTTAAAAAATTTTTAAAAACCTTTTCCAGGCCAAATAAAATATGTCTGTGGACTACATTCTGCCCAATGGCTACTGGTTGGTTGATGACTCCTGATATATACAAGATGGGCAGGGGCCTTATGAGACTTAATCTCTATAGTTCTCTATGTATAATCACACAGACTTTTTTCTTTGTCCTACTCTGCCATTGTCATTCTTATATCTTGGGTACTGAGTGGTTAAAAGATAAGTGAGACAGAGAAGCTTTGTTTCATTTTTCATCTCCAAGCTGGCAGAAGGGACATCTTTGAATACCTTTGGACATATCAATGGCTTACCTTGCATACAGTTCTTGAGATACTCTTAGAATCTCCACAGCAGGAGGAGATGGCATGCTAGAGCTGAGGTACACTAGTCACCTGATTATCAGGTTTGGGAGGATTTTCCAGTTGTGCCTTGTTAGGGAACCAGCTTTTTTTTCTTGATTTGACTTTCTTTTACCTCCACCCTTTGAGTAAATGTCTTGAGTCCAGTAAGTTGTTTTCTTTTTCTTTTTTCTTTTTTTTTTTTTTGAGACAGAATCTCACTTTGTTGCCCAGGCTAGAGTGAGTGCCATGGGGTCAGCCTAGCTCACAGCAACCTTAAACTCCTGGGCTCAAGCAATCCTACTGCCTCAGCCTCCTGAGTAGCTGGGACTACAGGCATGTGCCACCATGGCCGGCTAATTTTTTCTATATATATTAGTTGGCCAATTAATTTCTTTCTGTTTATAGTAGAAACAGAGTCTTGCTCATGCTCAGGGCTGGTTTTGAACTCCTGACCTTGAGCAATCCGCCCGCCTTGGCCTCCTAGAGTGCTAGGATTACAGGTGTGAGCCACCGCGCCCGGCCCAGTAAGTTGTTTTCTAGTTCAGTAATTCTTGGTCACTCTCAATAAAACACAGAAATATGGTGTGTTCCTTGGCCAGCTCTGGAAACATTAAAAGCTCTGCATCTTTAGTGCTTTTCTGGGCTCTTCAAGGGATTGAGTGAACATAAACCTTCAGAAGGGCCCATTGAGGGTCCTTTAGCTCCCTGGTACCATCTACTCTCTCAGAAAGCCCATCAGAGTTTCTTGGTTTGCACAGCTCTGTACTAGACACCAAGGCATTATGAAAAAGAAAACAAAAAGTCTTTGCCTTTGGAGAATTTATTTGGTAATTGGATAAGGACAACTCTTGAAAGTATTATAATTAAGAAAAAAACCCACTGGTGTACTAATAACAGCTATTTAGAACCAAAGAAAATAAAACACATATGAAGAATTGACAATTACATAAAAAATTATATGTTTTACAGAAGAAATGTGAATATGCAAATAACAGTTGAGGAGATGTCAGGAAAATATTAATAGATATGAAAAGGGAAGGATTATGATCTGGCTGGTGGGTAAATGTGGGTTCTTTTTGTCTGTAAGGTGGCCTGTATGGAAGGTTTATAACTTCTGGTAGAGAAACAAATATGGAATACAGAAAGAAGGTTTGCCCGCCTGGCTCAGAGTCATTGTCTTCTATGAAGCCATTCTTCTCATAAGAGGTGGATGTGAACTGTACCACTATTGAATAGTTAGTCTTTTGTTTTTTTGTTTTTTTTTTTGAGACAGAGTCTGGCTCTGTTGCCCCAGCTAGAGTACCATCGCATCAGCCTAGCTCACAGCAACTTCAAACTCCTGGGCTCAAGCAATCCTTCTGCCTCAGCCTCCCCAGTAGCTGGGACTACAGGCATGCACTACCATGCCCAGCTAATTTTTTTTTTCTATATATTTTTAGTTGTCCAGATAATTTCTTTCTATTTTTAGTAGAGATGGTGTCTTGCTCTTGCTCAGGCTGGTCTCGAACTCTTGACCTTGAGCGATCCTCCCGCCCTGGCCTCCCAGAGTGCTAGGATTACAGGCATGAGCCACCACGCCCAGCCTGAATAGTTAGTCTTGATGTTAGTTAATTAATTAATTCATTCAGTATTTATTGGTCATTTTTCTTACTATGTGTCAGGCATTGGGGACAAGAAGACAAATAAATCATAGTCTCTTCCCCTGAGATGCTCATAGACTCATGGTAGAAATAGACTAAATAAATAATTATAAATTGTTTTGAGGTGTATTTAAATAGAGCTATGTACAAAATGCTATGTGGTAACAAAAAGGGGATACTAATGTCTGGGAGAGTAGGTTAGCTAGGGAAGACCTCTCAATGTAGGCATTATCATAATAAAAGCTAACATTTATTAGGTTTTACTATCCCAGGTACTATGCTAGGTGCTTTACAGGCTTATTATTTAGGCCTCATAACAAATTGATGAGGAAGCATTATCTTCATTTTCCAATAGAAAACTGTAAACTGAAGCTCAGAGAGGTTAAGAAACTTGGCTAAGATTATATAGGTAGTAATAGGACTGGAGCTCAGGTCTGTCTTGACTCTGAAGCTTGTTCTTGTAACCACTGTGGTATTCTTTTTATTTTTGAGACAAAGTCTCACTGTGTTGCCTGGGCCAGAGTGCCATGGTGTCAGCCTAGCTCACAGCAACCTCAAACGCCTGGGGTCAAACGATCCTCCTGCCTCAGCCTCCTGAGTAGCTGGGGCTACAGGGATGTGCCACCATGTCCCGCTAATTTTTTTCTATATAATTTTAGTTGGCCAGTTAATTTCTTTCTATTTTCAGTAGAGATGGGATCTTTTTTTTTTTTTTTTTTTTTTTTTTGAGACAGAGTCTCACTTTGTTGTCCAGGCTAGAGTGAGTGCCGTGGCGTCAGCCTAGCTCACAGCAACCTCAAACTCCTGGGCTTGAGTGATCCTTCTGCCTCAGCCTCCCGAGTAGCTGGGACTACAGGCATGCGCCACCATGCCCGGCTAATTTTTTTTATATATATATCAGTTGGCCAATTAATTTCTTTCTATTTATAGTAGAGACGGGGTCTCGCTCTTGCTCAGGCTGGTTTTGAACTCCTGACCTTGAGCAATCCGCCCGCCTCGGCCTCCCAAGAGCTAGGATTACAGGCGTGAGCCACAGCGCCCGGCCTAGAGATGGGATCTTGCTCTTGCTCAGGCTGGTCTCGAACTCCTGAGCTCAAACGATTCTCCTGTCTCAGCCTCCCAGAGTGCTAGGATTACAGGCATGAGCCACCGCGCCTGGCCACCACTGTGGTATTCTGACTTTTGATGGAATGAGTAAGAGTTAACCAGGTGGACAAGAGTGGGGAAAAACATTCAAAACAGAAAGGGAATATAGTATGTGCAAAGGCAAAGAGGCAGCAGAGACCATGAAAAGAAGGAACTTTTCATAGTCTGTTTTATACAAAGAATATATATAGCATATATGAAGTATCGGTGTCCCCTACCTAGCTTAAAAAACAAATTATCACCAAAACTGAGGCTGCATGTATATCCTTTCCTATTAATTTGTCCCACCCTTCCTCTTGCCACTATTCTAAATTTTTTGTGAATCACTCTAGGGTATAGTCCTACAAAAGAGATTGCTGAGATATAAGTTATGAACTTCTTCCACTTTGTAAGATAATGCCAAATTATTATCCAAATTCATATCCATTTAGGTCTGCATTTTCACCAACTCTTAGTATTGTCAGATTTAAAATTTTTTGCTATTTTGGGAGTATAAAATGGTATCTGAATATAATCTTATTTTATAATTTTCCTGATTATTAATGAAGCTAATAATCTTTTCATATATGTATTTGCTGTTTGTATTTCCTATTCTGTGATGTACCTATTCTATTCACGTCTCTTGCTAATTTTGGGGAGGGGTCATATGTTCTACATGTTCTTATAGTTTTGTAGCAGTTATTGTTTTTTCTGGATATTGCTCTTTTGTTAGTTTTGTGTTACAGATATTTCTTTCCAATTCATGACTTATCTTTTCCCTCTTTTTTAGGGTGTCTTTTGAACAAATGTCTTTAATTTTAACATGGTTGAATGTACCAGTTTTTTTAGGGTTTTTGCTTTTTTCCTATTTAAGTGCTTTTCCTCTATGCTGAGTTTATTAAAATATTCTCATATATTATCTTCACAAAGTTTTTAAGTTTTGCTTTTCACATTTAAATCTAATTAATTTGAAATATAATTTTTGGTATTCCATGAAGTATGGATCCAGTCTATTCTCCTACTTTTGTTTGGATCTAAAGGGAGTCGCCAGTTGATACAGTGACTGCTTCTCTTTGGTTCCTGTTGGTGTGAATAACTAGGATGCTGCAGAGCACTAATGGAATGCTATAGACCCAGCTTAAACCGACAGTGCTTTCAAAGGATACATGTTGCTAAGAGTCTCTGTGCCATTAGCTTACCTGGCTAGGGATGTTAGTTGGTATGTATTCGGTTGTTCCTTGTATTTCTGACCCAAGATAAACCTTAAGTTCTTTTCTATCATACTTATATGAAGTCTCTGTAGGGTTTTGTGACCTTGTGACAAGGGATTCTCAGCAATTGGCTACCACAAAGCAAGTGGTTCATCAGAGATTCCCATTTGAGGCTGAAGGCAGATTCTGTTGGGAGATTCCCTGGGTGCAGAGACATATGCTTAGAGGCCTGGAAGGAGATTAGGCAGCTCTGCATTATCCTTGAAAATAATTCCTCTTCATTTTCTAGCTATTTCTTTTTTACTAAGAAAAAAAGTTTAAGTCAATGATTTTTTTGCTTAGATCTTTGCTATCTTAGAAAGTGGTTACCTTTTGGTGACTAATGGATTTTGACCAAATGTTAGGTTGTCTCCTCCAGGAAGTTTTCCAAGGAGCGTGTAGATCCTATTAGATCTTAATTAGTCTCATTGGCACTTTTGCTTGCAAAAGTGTAGTGGAATTGTTTTGTTTTTTAACTTGTTGCTGTGTTTTCAATTGAGTATGTTTTCTCTTATTCTCCTGTTTCTTTGAGAGAAATTAAATATTCTTATTCTTTATAGCATCCCCTCCTAAGTCCCCCAAGTATTTTTTTTACCTTGATTGGTATTCAGTATACATATATACTGAATATACACTGAACAATAACTCTGTATTGTACCCTGATACAATACAGCACCTTCTCTAGAGATAATGATGGCTATGAGTTTGGGTATATCTGCCCAGAACTTTTATTCTATAATTATATTATCATATTAGAGATTTCCTGCTCTAAATAAGTGAACATGAGTTTTCAGAACTTTTCAAAGGTCTTGTCACTGCCACTGTCCAATTAGACTGCCACTGGAGCTGACTTGGCTGAATGGATGTAGTCTTTGACATTGTAACTGTGATTCCAAACCAAGACAATTCTAACAACCTTCATTCTTTTCTTTAACTTGAACTTTCCTTATTATTAACATTTATTGAGTAGATAAAAAAAGAACAAAGGGACAAAAAAAGAACAAAAAAGCCTGAAGCCTTCTGCTTCAGGCTCCCAAAGTGCTGGGATTATAGGCATGAGCCACCACACCAGGTCTTAAATATTGTTCTTTTTTTTTTTTCTTTTTTCCATCCTTACCCTAATTGCATTAAATATTGTTCTTAACAAACTAATGTCATAGATGTATCTGCATACTTAAAGGCAACATAGAGCTTTGGGAACAATTGACTTTGAGGAATGTGGAGACTGTTGAGGTGCCTTTGAGAAATTTTCTGGATTGTTGCTTTTTGAGTCATATCTTAAACTACCCTGAACTTCCAGAGACCTCTAGGAGAGCCAGGTAGTTTATTAATTTTTTTCCCTTATCTTGTGCTGTTAAAGGGGAAGGGTAGTTGGATTTATAACAAAATGGGCTTCATCCCCTCTTAGTATTACAGGTGGAAAATCTTGGTACTGAAAAGTTAAGTCACAATTCTAACCTTATTAGGTACTGATTTTTAAGCACAGGTATTCTCTGGATAACCAAATATTAACCAGACTTTTATTTTAACTATTTTGGTAGGTTTGCCAGGATGGTGGATAAGAATATTTACATCATTCAAGGGGAGATTAACATTGTGGTTGGGGCCATCAAACGAAATGCCAGATGGAGCACCCATACACCATTGGTAAGTTGGAATGGGCAGATAGCCTGGGGGAGTTATTGTAGGGGATCTGGTACATGATTAAAACAGTTCCCAGTAATCATGAGAATAGTAGGAATTCAAAGTTATTCTTGGTATCAAGGACCCTTCTGTTTTATTATAACCAGCATCAAATATACAAGCTGTCTTTTTTTCCTCTGGGACCGAAAAGATGTCACCATTCTTCTTCTGGATATTTTCATAAACAACTTAAGTAGTACTGTACTTGAGACTTCTTTAGTATGCCTAAAAATGTCAGAAAGAGTACTTATTTTCTAATTCCATAGTGCTATAATTAGCTATGAAATTAGTTTCAATTCTATTGATAAATAGAATATGACTTGGTAATGATACTCCTTCTTGAGTATTCAGCAAACTTCCATGTATGGAACAGGTAATATCTTGTCATTTACATGAGTAAGAAACTCACCTGTTTTAAAATTGGCTTTCTTTGTTGTATATGTTCAAGAATATTTTTTGTAGTGTTGTATAAAACAATGTTTGGCACAATTGTAAAAATAAGTTTAGAAATTTCTAACTTGGTGAATTTATATAAATACACTTGCTGAATTAGTTGGGAAATTTCTCATGTTCATTTATAAAAATGGATCGAGGCTGAGCATGGTGGCTCATGCCTGTAATCCTAGCACTCTGGGAGGCCGAGGTGGGAGGATTGCTTGAGCTCAGAATTTGATATCAGTCTGAGCAAGAGTGAGACTGGCCTCTGCAAAAAATAGAAAAATTAGCAGGTCATGGTGGTATGCACCTGTAGTACCAGCTACTCTGGAGGCTGAGGCAGGAGGATTGCTTGAGCCCAGGAGTTAGAGGTTGCAGTGAGCTATGGTGATGCCACTACACCCTAGCCAGGGTGACAGAGTGAGATTCTGTCTCAAAAACAATAACAACAACAAGAACAAATAGATTGGTTGGCTGGGTGTGATGGCTCACAGCTGTAATCCCAGCACTTTAGGAGGCTAAGGTGGGAGGATCACTTGAGGTCAGGAGTTCAAAACCAGCCTTGGCAACCTAGTGAGACCTCCCCCCATCTCTACAAAAACTAAGAAAAATTAGCCAAACATAGTATGTGCACCCATAGTCCTAGCTACTCAGGAGGCTGTGGTGAGAGGATCACTTGAGTCCAGGAATTTGAGGTTACAGTGAGCTATGATTGTGCCACTGCCCTCTAGCCAGGGTGACAGAGTGAGACTCTGTCTCAAAGGAAAAAAAAAATGGGTTGGTTTAGAAGTGATAATGGAGTCAGGAATGTCTTTGAAATGAATATGTGATCATATAATAAATATGAAGAAGGAGAGAAGGCAGAATAATACACATATGGAGGACCTGGTAATCCATGTTAGATTGAGTGCTATGGTGATAGTATAGATGAGCACTTTAGGATTTACTATTTTGGGTAAGCCCAGAGTATCTCTGTGAAATAAGAGATTAGGGAAAAGAAAAATATGAACCATGGCTAACTTTCTGTTCCTCAGTAGGAAAACATTAGATTTTCTGATTGGATTTAGAGAAAGAGCCTTTGATCTATCCTTTATTTTCTTTTTCTCTTTTTGCCCAGTAATGACTTGTTTTTAATCTATGTTTCCTATAGGATGAAGAACGGGATCCTCTGCTGCATAGTTTTGGTCATCTAAAGGAGGTTTTAAATAATATAACAGGTAAGTCTCCACATAAAGGTCAGATTACTTATCCTGGTAAAAAATATATGTGTTTGACTTATTGCAGGATGGACAAACTTTTCTGTAAAAGACCTTATAGAAAATATTTTAGGCTTTGTGGGCCACATGGCAACTGTGCAACTACTCAACTCTGCCTTTGTAGCTCAAAAGCAGCCATAGATAATACATAAGTGAATAAGCAATGTATCTTTTCTTTAAAAAAAGTCTTTAAGCCACATTTGACCCATGAGTGTAGTTTGCCAACCCCTGGTTTATTGCATTGCATTGCGTTCGTTCATTCTTTTTTTTCTTTCTGAGACATAGTCTCGCTCTGTTGCCCCAGGCTAGAGTGCAGTGGCATGATCATAGCTTACTGCAACCTCAAACTCCTGGGCTCACGCAATCCTCCTGCCTCAGCCTCCCAAGTAGCTGGCATTACAAGCGTGTGTCACACCCAGCTAATTTTTCTATTTTTTGTAGAGATAGGGTCTTACTTTTGTTCAGGCTGGTCTTAGACTCCTGACCTCGAGTGATCCTCCTGCCTTGGCTTCCCAGAGTGATAGGATTACAGGCGTGAGCCACCATGCCCAGCCTGCTTTCATTCTTTATGATCTTTCAATTTTCATGTGTTCCCAGAATCTTTTTTCCCTTTGTTTTTCCCCTGTTTTCCTAATCATAAAAACCTTATATAATATTCATATGTTTAGAATTTTTCAAAGCCATTTTTACATTTGTTACTACCTTATTGAACTTTTATATACCCCTGTGAGGGAGGCATGGCAGGTGTCGTCCCCTTTTTATAAAAGAAGTTGAAGGCCAGAGATGTTCAAAGTGATTTAGCTGAGGTCACACTAATCCTAAGAGGTAGAGTCAAAACTAGAATTCAGGCCTCTGATACCCAGTTTAGTGCTGTTTCCCCTCTTTTGTGTTGTTTCTGTACATAGAATTAGAGGATAATGTCTACATGAAGTACCTTATATTGTGTGTGTGTGTGTGTGTGTGTGTATATATATATATATATATATACATATATATATATATATATATATGGCAGGGAAGGAGGAAAGTCTCAACTTCTATGAGTTTTTCAAGGGGATGGATGGAGATTAAAAAGGAAAGCCTGAGAGCTATGTTCCTCCATTAACTATAAATGAGTCTTGCAATGTATAACCTTGGAATGCTTTTATCTAGTGACATATCTCAGACCATAAAATGAGTAGTGTTTAGGTTTCTGTGGATTAAATAATAAACAAAAAAAATTTTTCTTCCTTTCATGAGAAATGTGGGAGAAAATCTGGAAAAAAATTCCTTTTTACTTTCCTAAGCATGGACTAAAGTTTTCTAAGGGTGCCCTACATATTTCTTTAAAGGAGGAAATTTCACTCAATTGAAAAAGCTTTAGAAATGTTAACCAAAAGGATCAAGTATGCAAAGGCAATTGTTAGCTAGTTAGCAGGGCTAATGCTGCTACTAGGTGGCATGTTCTTATTTTATGGCCTGTACTGTGACTTGGCTGATTTAGAAAGTTGGCTACTTGCACAAATTTTCTTTTTTTATTTTATGAGTAAGACTACATATCCTAATTAGAAAGAAAACATAGCAGGTGGAGATTTACAATTCTTTTTAGTGGGCTAGCGTTCAGAATACTATCTTTCTAAGAGATATCAATAGAATCAAACAAGTTAATATACTTGGGAATACTTTGTAAACATTTTATACACAGGGAAGGATTGTTATTATAAGTGGTTGGGAACACCCTAACACCCTAAGGTGGCCAAGATCACCCTGGAGTAGCCTTGCAGGCCTTTTTAGCACTCTATAAATTTTGAGGAGCTGAGGTGCTGCTATCCTGATAGAGCTACATTTTCTGCCTGCCATCCAGTCCAGGTCCCATGCCTGTTTTCTCTATCTGATATGTCCCAAGATTTCATCTCAGAGACTCTACCTGTGGTGAGTGATACAGTCCAGGAATTACAGTCTCTAGACCATGTAAGAGCTAGCAAAGTTGAGTCTGCTGCCTAATTTTCTTATGTCCTTGAGTTAGGAATCCAGCCAGATTATATGCTGCTTGGAACTAAAAAAACCAGAATGTGTTGAAGAGTCATTTCTGTCAATGATACTAGGAATATAGGTGAGTGTTGCTGCTAACCTTCCCCTGGAGCAAGGAGAAAGGTAGTAGTGTTTTTCAAGGCCAACAGCTGTGGCAGATACTGAAATGGTGCCAAGGTTGTTCCATTGTTCTTGGGTTTTAGCATATTACCTGCCTGAGAAAATGACCAAGTAGACTCCAAATAGAGCATTTCATGGTGTTCAGATTTATTCTGACCCCCCACACAGTGCTGGCTCCCAGGAGCAGGTTTATGGGTCAGCTGCCCCTGTGGTCCTGGACTTTGCAATCCATGACCAATTTCTTGTTTCTTTTACTGAAACAAACAGATTTTTCTGATTGGCAGTGTCAGGAGGAGTGCTTTCCTGGAAGCTTGTTAATGGTAAGAGGCTGGGAAAGGGTTTTGAACTTGGAGAGAGAAACTGAAGGGACTGTGCATATGTATATAACCAGTTATGGTATACCACTTATACTGGAGAAGGGATGACAAGAATTCTAGGACTTCTACCCAGTTTAACTCATGAAATTGACTTGGGCATGGTCTCTTTTTGCAAAGGCTTCCTGTTTGCAGTTTTCTAGGCTGTCTGCTGGCTTGGTTGGTTAAGACTATCATTGTTGGAAATGAGTGGTTCATTGGACATTGTCATTAAACCAAAATGATTTCTTTTTCTTTTCTTGTAAACAGTTACGGGATCTTCTAAGTATATAACACTACCTACTCCTCCAGCAGTATTTTCTATTCACTGTGGAGGAAATAAATTTATTGTCTCCAGTAAGGTGAGCTAAGTTCGTACCAGTTATTCTCACATATATGTCTTTGGTCCACATTTGCAGTCAGTGTTTGCTCAGATTACATGATGACTACATGCTTGGTAGCATTTAGAGTAATAGGATATTCTGATACCAAATCTGAAGAGAAGGCTGCACTTGATAGAGAAAGGGTGTCCAGGAGCAAAGTTTGCGTATTGTTACTTTGGGTAAAGCTTCAGCTTACCACCAGTTAGAGACTTGACTGCTCACCCTCATTTGGTTTTATTTCCTCTTAGGAATCCTTTTAGGAGATTATTCTAAAGGAGTTAAAGCAGATGTGCAGTTGCCAGGGACTGGGAGGGGGAATAGGGAGTGACTGCTGAAGAGTACAGGGCTTCCTTTCGGAGTGACGAAAATGTTCTGGAATTAGATAGTAGTGATGGTTATACAACTTTGTGAATATACAAGAAAACATTGAATTGTGCACTTTAAAAGGGTAAATTTTATGGCATGTGAATTATATCTCATTTTTTTCATAATTTATTTATTTAATTATTTGGTGATAGGGTCTTGCTCAGTTGCCCAGGCTAGAGTGCAGCAGTGTCCTCATAGCCCATTGTAACCACAAACTTCTGGGCTTACGTGATCCTTCTGTCTCAGCCTCCTGAGTAGCTGGGACTATAGGGGTGTGCCACCACACCTGGCTAATTTTTTAATTTTTGTAGAGATGGGGTGTTGATATGTTACTCAGGTTGGTCTTGAATTTCTGGCCTCAAGTAATCCTCTTGCCTCGGCCTCCCAAAGGGCTGAGATTACAGACATAAGGCACCACACCCAGCCTTCAATTTTTTTAAAAAGCAAATGTATGCTGCAAAAGTGATGAATTCACCAATGTTTTCTCAGGGTTCAAAGCTATGGAGGGAAGTCTGACTATAGTCACTGCTATGCTTTGGACCGACCCATTGCCCAGCAATGGCAGCATAAGGCTCTGTTCAGCCTCCTGGCCCAGTTTGTCCTTTTATAATATGTCTCTCTCATTAACTAAAGGAAGCACATGGCTTTTATATTTAAATTTATTCAAGCTGTAATCTTTGACATTTGAGTTAGCTTTTAGTACAGTTTTGCATTTATAGTAATATATATTATGTATTTTCTCTATCCCCAAAGAATCCGTTTTAATCTTTTCCGGATGCAAATTTCAGGCTGTCTTGTCCCATCTCCCCTCTCTTGCTCTGTTTCCCCTCCCCCCACAGAGTGTATTTGATCAGGTGTGGCAGGAATATCCACTGTCAAGCTGCGCCCTTTATATTAGTCAATATTATCCTTCTCCCCCCTCCCTGTCTGTCTGCCCCGTTGGGCTTTCCCAGTTGATTTATAATTTTGGAATTCTCATCGGAGTCTGTAATACAGTTTGTTCATTATTTAACCAAAACCTGTTTAATGAGCAGAGAGAAGCAATGTAAATGTTAGGCATGTTGCAGTGATGTACCTTTGTGCTTCTCAAAGCGGGTGGGTGGTTAACTCTGTGCTGCCTGCAGGGCTGGGTATCTTGGCCTTAGGGGCAGAAGGGCCATTGCTTCTCCCTTACACCTGTCCAAGCCCTGCCATGGGTTTAGGTTCCAAAGACATGTTTCCTTTTATCCTTCTAGCAATCTTGTGGGATTTGTACATATTTAAGTTATCTTCAATCTCATAGCTAGACCTTGTGGTAGGATCTGTGGCATGGGATAGGGGCATAGAAGGGAAAGTGAAATATCAGGATACTTGATACTGTTTAGTGTGAGGTCTAACGAGTAGACAGTTTAGAAGAATGCTTATAGCCAACATGGTCTGTGGTCTTTGATCTCTTTGTTCCCAGGGCTAGATAAGTCCTTGCAGGCCTTAGTACCCTTTATCCAGTATAGTTTTATGGAAAGGGCTATAGCTGGTTGTGATTTGTGGTTGTTTAGTTGTGGTTATTTGCCTCCAGATTTAGTCTTTCTTTGTCCTTGGTCTTTAAACTTAGATCATTATAAAGGTATTCTTTTCCAGAAAATTTTTGATTTAAAGCAGAAAGAGAGGAACAGTCTAAAAGTATCGCCAAAATCTTCTCATATGGGATTACCTGTTAATGACTTTAAAGCCATCAGGGCCAAGGCTTGAG